TGGCACGCTGTCCCCTCTGCGTGCTTTCCCATGCGTAGCCGTTAGTGGCCTTTCTGCAAGTGGCAAATAAATTGCTTCTGTGGGCACGACATCTGCAAACGATGGGCTCGAAGGGCATCGCCAGCCTTCCCTGGGATCTGTCCCGGGAATGCCCTCATGATGGGTGGCTGGTGTCGGCGCTGGGATCTGCTAGATCCATCTCACCCTCCTTGCATTAGTGTTGCTCCTCCGCAGAGCTGTGTTGAGTGGCTGGACATCTGCCTCGAGACCTACAGCCACCAAGAACTGCAAGGCTGTGCTCTCCTGGCGTGGGGAGCAAGCCTCCCACTGATGGAAAATCATGCAGCGACAATAGGAAAAATAGCTATCGGGCTCGCTATCTGCTCTTCCTGTTCCTCGGAACTCATGCTGGAGCTTTCTGAACGCAGCGTGGAGCGCAGCCAAAGCCCGAGGCATGTGTTGGAGTGACCTCATTGCGGGGAGGTCTGAACCTCCCCAGGGACGACCCACAAGCGGCGTTTGTCAATGCTGCTCTAAGAAAAAGCCTTCAGCAAAGGCATTGTTTATTGTGAGAAGGGAATTGGATTTTTTTTGTGAAGAAAAGCTCTTCTTCCATGCTGCTCTGTTTATTTCTTTTCTATACAAGGAATGCACTTGGCCCATGGCCTGTCTCGCAAGGGGATTCCAGCCAAATGGTGCCAAAGGAAGGACAGTCTGAAAGCCAGAGCCAAAGTGTGTGGGAGAGCTGGTCAACCCATTGAAGTTCCTCTTAGCTTGGACTCAGCAGAACTGCTTGCATGGCCAAATTGGGCATATCCATGTTTCTAGGAGTGTTTTTTAGTATCAATGGGAGCGATGTGTTTGCTTGCTTCTGCATTGCTAGCCAGGGATGGAAATGCCTGTTATGAGCATTCATTTATTCGGCAACACCTTGCAGGTTAGATGGATGCTATGGCAGCGGTGAAAACGGTCCTTTTTCTTGTGAAAAATCTCAAAGAAAATGTTTACTTTCAAAAATTCTTTGTCAAAAACACCCTTTTCTCCAAAGAGACATTAAGAAGCAATTCAAGGGGAGGGAATGTTAATACAAAATGCTTTAAAATACCTTTTTTTTTTTTTCTTCCATTTTCCAAGGCAAGGCTATAATTTAGATGAGTGGCACGGAGTCCAGGGGAAGGCCTGTAGATAGCAGTGTCCCCAGGGGTCAATACTAGGTCCAGTCCTGCACAACTTGACTGCAGGAGTGGGACACGCTCGGTTAATAGACTTGGCTTATGTAGCTTGTGCGGAGCGTGGATCCCACCCGTCAACTCCCCAAGGGTCTGCAGCTTTCAGTTGCCAGGAATGGCCATTCATTCGCTGTCGGGCTTCCTAAGGAGCTCCATGACAACCAGCCAAACATGGAAATCAGGAATGAAGTCTATTCCTGTTGCACTTCCTTTCCGGAACACGTCTGGGGCCTATGTTGGCCTCCGGGGCGGGTAGATAAGACGTGCCGTAGCCCCAGCCTGACTCCTTAGCATGTCCAAAAAGCTGCAGTTCTGGTGAGCTGGGCCTTTAAAACCACTCTGTGGGGTCAGGGAGAAGGGTCTGAAATCAAATAGCGTAGCAAGGAGTCAGATTTCTGGTGGGTAACACAAGCGCTCCGCGCGGCAACTCCAGTGCCTTTGTGCATTTTGCAGTTGAAGGATTCGTCGTCCTCCAGCTGCTCAAGGCAAGTAGATGTGAGTAGTAAAATAATCTTAACTACAGCGGGAGGAAGCCTGCAGTCCAAATGTGCTGAGCACGGCCTGCTTTGGAGGTGGACAGAGCAAGAACGCAAAACAGGCTTGGTGCATCATGAGACTGGTGATAGATGCTAGGAGGGAAGCTCATGCCTGTCCTATAAAAATTGCTTGCAGACAGTTTTGGGGAGCTTATTTTTGGGGGAGCTTATGCCAAGAAGTGCCTTTGCATGCTGGTTTTTGCAGCTACAAGTGATTGGTAAGGGATGGGACATGTGTGGTCCCACTTTTTAAAAGACGTCCTTGGTGTAGGGGTGTAAGGATCCTGACTGAAGCTTTTCTTCCCAAAATAAGGCCTGATCAGGAATTTCTTGCAGCCCCTTTGATAACAACTCTGCTGGCAGATGAAAAGGTGGAGTTTGCCTCTATTCCACCCCATAAGACTTACTGCAAGGTTGAGCTTTAAAGAGGAGATAGGAAAAAAAATCAGCTTTCAATGAGGAAGCATCTCTGAAAAGACCAGACTTTCCAGATAGCAGCCCTGAAAGGCAGGATCCTCTCCCCAAACTGTATCAGGACCTTAAGCATCAGCTCTTTCTTTAATAAAGTTTGATCAGTGCCTCACTAATGATTTAATAATTTGACCCATTAAAATTAACACCAGATGGGAGCTAGAACGCTGCCAGGTTTTCTGGATGCCAGACTGCGATTTTCTTGGCTTTGCTCCCTCAGAAGAAGTAATCTAAATATGAGAATCTATTTTATTCAATTATTTATTTGAAATGAGATGTTCTCATCACAATGGCTCTTTCATTATCGGTCTCAAGGAATTCTTGCTGCAGCACACCCAGCCATGGCATGGGAGATGGGAGCTTATCCTTTTTCTCTCAATGGTGCCGTCATGGCTCTATTTTGGGTTACTCACTTCTGCGCTCTGACTGCAGTGAATCAGAGCCCCTTGTAGACATGGACCACCATGGCCATCAGGGCTATGTTCTTCTCCATCCTTATTTTCTCCATCCTTTTCCATCCTTATTCTTCTCTGGAGATCTTCCAAACCCGCTTGGATGCAGCCCTGTGCCACGTGCTCTAGGTGACCCTGCATGTGCAGGGGGTTGGACTACATGACCTCTAGAGGTCCCTTTCAACCTTCAGCATTCTATGATTCTTTCTATGGTTCTATGAACTTTCTTCATTTATTTTGAACCAGCACCACTGCTTATTTTCGTGTGGTTCCTCCTGATGCATGCAATGCACATGAACATGCTGTTTCTCTCAGGCCACCCACAATTTTGTGACCTGCTTTCAAGTCTTCCTCCAGTTTTCTCTTTTCCAGATAGAGCAGTGCTAGTCAGCATGGTTACTCCTCATGCAGAAGCTCTTCTGCACCTTTCATCATCCATGTTGCCCTTTGGAATTGATTTGTCCATTGATATGCACAGAGCTCACAGAGAAATTTCTGGCATGGTTCTTTGGTTTGATTGCTTATAAGATTTAAACTCTTTGGGGTTCAGAATTGCTCCTCTGGTGATAAATGCCTTTCCTTGGTCTTGTTCTCATAGCTGAAAAATATGAGTAAGAGCCTTTCAGTTTCATAAAAAGAGACAATGGGTGAAAAAAAATCCAAAGTTGTTGATCTTTTCTCTTGGAATAAATTAGAACAAACGAAACCATCAAACTTGTCATGTCAGGAGGCATTAATGATGACCATATGCTTTGGTAACTTGTTAAAATTTGGGTCAAAAACAGCCTTTAGGATTATTTGAAAATTCACCATTGCAAACAGCACATATTTCTTGTCTGATTTCCAAACAAAGGCATTTTCATGAGATCATACTACCTTTATGCCAATGAAACTTCAAAATCTTTGTTCTTTTTTTCCCCCCAACTTCCTCCTGATGTTTATTTCTCAGTGATACCCACAGGCCAAACTCCTTTTGACATTTTTATCAGTGTTACTTTTTAAACATGACAGTTCTTCCAGCAGTTCCAGAAATACAAAGGCAGTGATTTCACCCAGGTGTAGACCTGTCTGTGGGGCTGCTGTGCAAACACACCCAATGAGGAAGAGCTTCCTGTCTCCAACATTTTATATGACGTCTTTTTCCTTAATTTTTTGCTCTTTCCATATGTGTGTTAGGATATAAAAAGAAAGGAACTGCATGCAAAGGAACTGCATGCAAAGAACTGAATCGTGGAGATTGAACTTTGCTTTTTTTGAGTGTCTGTATTACACTAAGACATTTTAGGACATGTTAAATAGAACTGTGTTTAAGTAGATTTGAGTCGCAGACTGCCTGTGACTCACTACTTAGCTAGGACTACTTTCCACACGAGTTTTTTAATTGCCTCACATATCAAATGCAAGTGTCTCACTGCTAAGACAGCTGTGAGCTAATCCAGGTACTGTTGCAAGGATTATGGTTCACAGTCAATTAATGGGCACTCCAGTGTCAAAATCCCCTGGACAAGTTCAGAAATCTCGGTGAGACTATCTGAAATAACAGACTGATTGACCAACAGGTAACTTCTTTAGATGGTTGAAGTGGATTTATCTGGTTTGACAATAACACCATTAAAGGTCCTTTTTACAGCTACAGATCAAATGCTTTCATGCAATAATGTATTCCCGGTTGAGGGGAATTGTTTAAGAATTTTGTTTCTTGAGGAATACCTGCTGTGCTAATATCCCCAGTCAAGGGTCATGAGAGCCCAGGCAGTGGCAAAACCACATTCCTTAGTGCTAACAAGCCCCTCGGACACTTCCTTCCTGTCTCCTTCCTTTCTTTCTTCCTTTTTTCTCTTCCTTTCTGTCTTTCTGTTGTTTTTCTTTCTGTCTTTACCTCTCTCTCTCATGGGCTGAGCCTTGGAGAGACCAGGAGGATGTGGCTTGGAGAGCCTCTAGATGACCACATGAAACACATGGCAGAAAGAAGGTCCCATCTCCAGCACTTTAGCCTTAAAATTTTGTACTTCCCATGGTTGTAGATTCTTTTTCCCACAGAAATCATCAATTCTGCACTTGAATGACTGTGCTGTGGGTTTGATGTTGTTCTGGAAGAAGGAGGCACGTTGGGAAGCTAGAGAGGAGACTTTTTTTCCCCCCAGAAATCGTCAATTCTGCACTTGAATGACTGTCCTGTGGGTTTGATGTTGTGCTGGAAGAAGAAGAGCGACTAGGCACGTTGGGAAGCTAGAGAGGAGACTTTGTGTTTGTGTCTTGACCTAACCTGTGGATATTCTTGTTCTCCCTCAGACTATCGTACCGGTCCCTGCTTTAGCCAAGTAAATAACCAGATGTGCCAGGGCCAACTGAGTGGCATTGTCTGCACCAAGACCATGTGTTGTGCCACGATTGGACGGGCCTGGGGCCACCCGTGTGAGATGTGCCCTGCCCAACCTCACCCTTGCCGACGAGGTTTCATTCCCAACATCCGAACCGGAGCCTGTCAAGGTAAATACCATGAAATGATGTTCCCTTATCCGTGCTAATATGGGCCAAAATTGATGGATGAGTGCGAGGATCCCCAGCAGTCTCTATGGAGACCTTCCCAAGTCCATAGTCATATATCCTAGGGCATCACCACTGCCAAAGGATCAGAGGTCAGTTCTGTTTGTTCCGTAGACAACCTGCTGCGGTTTTACCACCCATGTCCTGGTTCCTGTCCTTCACCATCTGTTTATTTGTCTTGTAGCTGACAGCAAGTAGAAACGTTTTCAGCTGGATACCTTCCATGAGGTCAATCTATTTCAAGGGAATGTGCTGCTCTCAGTTAAGCTTCCAAAGGAAACATTTGGAAAATCTTTGAATTAATGGAGATGCTTCAAGTAAAATTTTAGCATTTGATTCCATTTCCTCTGACCTCATACTTAATATAATGGCTTTAGGAAGTATAAAGCCACCTACTTGTAGGATAATTGCATTAAGAAATGTAAATTCACCTACTTAGAGCAAAGCTGATTCTTTCTCAGAACTCCAGCTGAAACTTCTGTTTCGATAGCGGTACTTTCTGATGTTTTTCTTTTTTTTCCCTGTAGACGTGGATGAATGTCAAGCCATTCCTGGCCTGTGTCAAGGTGGCAATTGCATCAACACGGTGGGTTCTTACGAGTGCAAATGCCCTGCTGGACACAAGCAGAGTGAAACCAACCACAGATGTGAAGGTAAGACTGTGCAAGACCCCACCACAAAGCTCATTGCTTGGGTTCTGGGTATAAACTGAGAGCACAGGGACGTTTAAATAACAGGGGAATCTCTCTGCATGCAGAGGATTTCCAAGGCAAACAAAGGGGAAATGCAAAGCAGCCCCATGCCAGCCTTGAACCTTGACTAAGTTTTGATGAGTTGAAGGATGAAAATTCCTGCGTTCTTGGGGTCCTTGTCCTAGGCTTGCTCTGCTTTCATGGTGAGCTGCTCCACTGTATTACTTAGTTAAGTTCAGGACTTACCTTAGCCAGTGACAGGCAGTATTTTAGACCCCTGTTCCATGCTATAAGGCACACACATGGGTCAAAAGCAGAGATTAGGTACAGTGTGTTTCCAGGTGACAGTTATTTACAGTGACAGGATTGTAGGCCGCAAACTGTTGCACAGGGAGCACTCAAAGAGTCAACATGCCAAAGATGTAGCTTCATGGCACTGTAAGTTTCACAGCATACATTGAGCCATGGGGTTTCTTCAAACTGTTAGGGACATCACTGCTTCCAGGTAACTCTTCCAATATCCCCACCCTCCTGCAATTCAGACATTTTTCATTTCTAGCAGTCTCTAGGTCAGTGCCATGACAAGCCCTTAGGAAAACTTTTCCAGGGTGAGGCACCAGAGGTCAATACTTCTGAGATCGTGGATGTTCTTTTAAGTTAAGAAGACATCTGTGCTAGTGGATCTTCCTTGGTAGGATACTAGAAAGCTTTCCAAAACTCGATGGAAGGGTTTTGTGCAGTGTCCAGCATCCAGGGACATGGGACCATTGGCTTACCCAAAACAGTGCTTTGATATGGATCTCAGGTGAAGACCCCATTCCTCAGACTGCAGCTTGGATACCAGTGGGCAAAGGCTGGACCACACCAGAACCCTGGCCCAAACTCTAGGGGCAAAACACAACTCTTGCCTGGTACACCTCACCCATGCTGGCTGGAGACCAGGCAATACACATCTGAAATCGGTTTAACTGGAAGCTCCTATACCCTGAGACTAAAAACAACGTCTGAATCTGTCATCCAGATGCGAGGGGCCTCCGCATGGGTTCGCACTTCCCGGAATGCTGCAAAAGCAGCATGGTGTGGCCATAAACAGCCACTCTCCTTCCTGGATAGCCATAAAAATAGACATCTCCAGTGTCTACAGTGTCTGCTCCATCGCTTAGCATTCCTCACGTGCTAAGGAGACCATGAAAAGGGGATGTTTTCCTTTGGTATTGTTTACCAGCCTAGGGATCCTTTGGGGAGAATGATATAAACATGCTTTAAACTGACGGAGTTGAGATGGTTTTGAAAGGATTGTTTCCCGGATGGGAATTTCCAGCATGTTCCCATGAGGAGAAGAGGAGGACATTTCTGTCTGGGCCATAACTGCTGTCCCTTCAGGAAATGTGCCCCATGTGAGCCTGTAGAATTATGCGAATAGGGGAATGCAGAGTCAGCATCTTGATGGAGGTTTGACTTACACTAACACTTTATAAAAATAGGGAGATCTAGGCCCTCTCTCAAAGAATTTTCTCCATTCTTTGATGTGTTAAAGCAAACTATTTGGTATGGCAGATAGAGCACCTAATTCCTGATTTGCTGAAATGTCTGTACTGCCCAGGTGGCTTGTATCAAACCCCGCAATCTCTACCCTGGGCCAAGGGTTTTAATCAAAATAATGACAACAACCATGAAAGAGGATCTTTTCTTTATTGAGGCGTGCTTCAAAAATAAAATCTCAAAGCTGCAGGAGTCTTCTTGCTGAATCTATTTGCACTAACTTCGCAGCTGGTGAAGGATGTGGTTTCCCAGCTTGCACTGAGACCATCCAGCTTTAGGAAGAGGAGATGGGCTCCTCCTGTTTTGGAATTCCTCATCCAAGTCTGTCATTCAGGAAACATTAACATTAGCTTGAACGTCTTTGTTCAGTTCTTCCCAAGTTCCCGGGTTCTCGTCTTTTCTGCCTAGAAGATTCTTCCTGGGGAGTGAAGTTAGCAGATGGGATTGCATTTGAGCCAAAGGTCAGAGCTTTTGTCACTGGGCCTGCTGATTGATGATGCCTCCTTCATTAACACGGCACCATGTACTACTAATCTTCTTCAGGCTGTTTGCTGGTGGGAAGAGGCAGGAGTGGAGATAATGCTGTTTGTTTCCCATAGTGATACTTATCTCCCAACACAAATGGCACTTGGAATCGAGGCTCCGTTCTCAGTTCCAGAATTCCTGTAGGATAAAGACACTTATGCAAGATCTGCTATGCTGATAGCATGGCCCAGCTCAGGCCCTGCTCTTCCAGGCATGTGAAGGGGCTGCAGATGGATACAGAGACTGAGTTTTGGTCAACCCCAGAAGGAAAAAGATGTCCTTTTTCTAGCCGCAAGGCAAAAAAAAATGCACACAATGTCAAGTTTGGATTTGAACTCAAATATCCTCCAAGTGCAGGGCTGCTCAGTTACAGAATTATTTGTGAGGCTCATTTACTGAATGCGACACTCTCAAATAGCCTCTTTTGTGCCTTTGTTCATTGTATTCGGAGGGAGCTCCAGGGATCAAGAGTTCCTGAGCCTGGGGCTGTGCAGCTCATGATGAGGAATTTCTGGCACAGAAAATTGCCTGCTCATACTCCGAAAGATATGAGCAGTGCGTGAAGCACAGCAGGGGAGTGGAATGAGAGGAGAGAGAGCAAAGCCGCTCGCTTAAACCAGCCCTTCTTCTTTACAAAGGCCAAATGGCCACTTTTATATTGTCTTTGAGGGAGAAGATAAGTGAAGATGGCAAATGTTGGCTAATGGGCAAATTGAGAGGATGGGAGGTGGTAGCTTGGCCAAACCCAGGGCAGGTCCTGTGGATGTTTTCAGGGAGCTACAAGTGTGTGAGCAGGGAGGGAAGGAGACATCCCAGCAGACTCCCAGTGCTGTGGGAAGGATTGGTGGGGAAGATGCAAGAAAGCGATGCTGGTGACAGGGGTGAAAATGGAGAGACGTCAAAGCTGAAATCAGATAGATCTGATACAAAGAGCTTTATCAGGAGATCACAGGAAAGTGTGGGAGGGTGTTACACTCAATAATGTTCTTCAATTATCCTGGAAACAACCTCAGAAATCAGATTAGGGGAGCAATTCCTTGGAATGCTCCTATGTGTGGAATCCCTGACTGAGGAAGGCTTTTCCTTCCACAATTTTGGTAATATCACTTCTTTTCTCCATAGCCCTGCTTCTAGCACTCAACACAGTGCTAAGCAGCTCCACTATCAGCAAAGTGTGTAGTCCCAGCACTCATCCAGGATGCTTTCCAATGCCCCTGAAGGAATAAATATCTTGTGTCCAGATTGTTCCAGGATAATAGCATGCCAGACAGAATAAAATATGAAAAACATGATGAAATCAGGCAAATGAGTGAAAGGCACTGCTGTGATCATCAAGCTCTGTTCGGATTAGTCTATGAGAGATCAACTTCTGATAGTTGCTGGCATCTTAAGGAGGCAGATTCTGCTGAGGGCGAACAAATCTTTAATTCCAAATCTCACCTCTTTCTACCCCTCTTATCCATTCAGCACTTGTAGAATCATATGTTAGATACCACTCATCCTTACGGACTAGCCTGCAAGCCTAGCAGAACACATAATCCTAATTTCCTAAGGAAGGCAAGGTTTTGGGTTTTACTCCATTGAATCTCATTCATATTTCTAAATTGGAGGGAGTTTTTTTCTACATTTTCCATGAACAGAGCCTGTAGACTGGCCCGCTTTCTTCCTGAGTGGAACACGATAGCCGTTTTATTAGTGTGTTTTCAATTTTCTCACAAAATGTCTACAGAAGAGCTCACTGTTTGGATCTATTAAAAGCTCATTTTCATGGATTTGGTGTGGTTTGGGGGGTTCCATTGCTCTCCTCTGTGGTTTCTCTGTGCTTTCTAGAAGGGGAGATCTGAGACTCCCGTGCACTGCACGAGAAAGGCTTGATGAGACACTGCGCAGAGGTGTTTTCTCCATCAAGTCCTGGTATTTTAGCAGATGGAAATGCTGGGATTTGAACATGTCTGTGGGCACCTGTGTTGGATGAGCTTTGCAGACCACAGCTCTGTTTCTGAGGCTCCATAGCCTTTGATTTCCAGCATGTTCAGCCTTAAATGATCAAGCCAAGTCCAATGCAGCAAAATAGAGACCAGGTCCAAAATCAATGTTTGCATTGAATTCTGCCATTGTCTGAGGAGCAGAGTGCACAGGATTGCTTTGATTTGTAATAGGGAGTTGGAAAAATCATGAGTAGCCAGGCTACGGTTGGGGGAATTGGTCCCCATCCAGCAGCTGGGGGTTTAGCGAGAGGTTTAGATTTGTCTCGCTGGGTCAAACCCTCCAAGGACTTCAGCTCTGAGTGAAACTAAACTTTAAGACCCATTAGAGAGAAAAAATGTAGAAGGCAGAACTGAAACAGCAACCGAATCCAGAGCTCACTCCCAGCTCAGTTTCTCAAAGTTGCTTCCTTTTTCCCTGCTTATTGGGTTGCTCACACCAGCCTCATATGAGCGAGGATTTTCAAGAGAGGAAAAAAAAATGTTGCAGATTGATGTAACCGTTGGAATTGCCTCTGTTTTCCCTTAGGATTGGAATGCGGTTCCTGCCCCCACCACATGCATGTTTGCATGACTGATACAAGGTCCTAAGCATTGATCTAATGAGATGCCTACCTTTCAGCTGGCCTCCAGATCTCTCATATAGCAAACTTCAGGAGAGCTATGCAGAAGCTTTAGGCTGTTTCTTTTTTTTTCCTCCCCCCTTTTTTTCCCTTTTTTTTTTTTTTTTCCCTTTCTAATAGTACAACCAGTGTTCACTTCATAAAACTCCTTCCCTTGGCATGTTCTGCAAATTGTAACCCAACACAAGCCTGTAATTAAATGACAGGGGAGGCTATAATGATAAAATCTCTTTCCCCGCAGGGGCCCAGGTGGGGGAAGCGTTTTCGGGGGATTTGCATTGCTGCCTTTCTAGGTTTCAAGCCCTGCCTGGCTGCTGCAGGGACTCTGAGCATCAAAGAGCTAGAGAAACATTCCAGGCCAGAGGCAATGATTCTGCTGTTGAAATCTGCAGTGAACAAAAAGCCCAATTCTGGCTTTCCTAAGAAGCCAGGAAAAACAGCAGTGCATCGTCCCCTCTTGATATGTCACTGTGTAATCTGCCCCGTGCACTTGATTGCATGCAGGGTAGAAGAGAGATTTCACTTGATCCCTCAGGGCCTGGAGTCGCAGCCAAAGTGGAACAGAAGATTCTTGTGTTTGTCCCGGGTTGTGAGATCAAGGAGAGGTTGAAGGTTATTTCTTTGGCTACATCCATGGCAGGAGCCGTACAGGTCTCTGTTCATGCTTTATGCCTCCAATCAAAGGCAGTTCATCTTGCTTTATTTGGACATTTACCTCATTCCAGCCTGAGCTTATGAAGTTTGAGCTTCAACTTGCGTCTTGCCTCTCTGAGCCCGCAGAGCACTGTGCTCACAGCAGCATCTTGGCATGTCACATCTCCGTGACGCATCCCCGCATTCCCGTTTCCACAGGGCAGCATCCAGGAGTGATTTTGAGGAGGTAACCCCAGCTGCTGCCTGTTCTCCACGTTCAGGTCTGCACTAGCACATCTAGCCACTGCATGGCACTGTGACATTGCAGGCAGACCTGTCCTTGCTAAGTCCCAAACCTTTCCCTTTCGGACATCCCTTCGGGACTGTCACCCTTTCCTCCCAGCGTACAAAATTTGAGATCTGCCCCTGTAGCTCCTGCCCACTCCTGCTTCACTTGACAGCCAGGTCTGCTGGCTCTGAGCACAGATTTCCACCAATTCCTCTCTTGCCCTTAAGGAGTGGGTTCTGGCAGCTCTTTCCATGTATGCATACACTGCCTTCATCCCTAAAGTGAGCTCAGATCTTCCAAATACATTCCCATATCCATTCACAAAAGTGCTACGGTTTTTAAATACAATAAATATTGCTGCTTAGCGAGATCATTTATTTCAATGATAGCCAAAACATGGGGTTTTTGTTTTGTCATTGTGGAAAGTCTCTCGTGAATGCTCCATCTGTCTTTTCCCAACCACCTGGACCATGACCAGCAACCAACTGCTTTGGGTGCATTAATGGGAGGCTGAATTCCAATTCCAGATCAGCTTCCGAAACAGCTTTTAGTTGTTAATAGAGACAAATCTATAACTCACATCCAAAACTAGTCCTTAGAGTCAACAGCCACCCTAGCGTGGCTGGCGCCTGTGCATTTAACAGCATTAAAGTTTGGTCTAAACTTTTGGAAAACAAATTTCCACTTGCAAAATTGCTAATTTGCAACTCCGTTCCCTTGGACTTCCTGAGCCTTCAGATCCTGCCTAATTGCTGCAGGGAAAAGTCGAGCTGGTTCCCTGCACATCATCCGCATGGGAACGTGTGGAGTCTCCTCACCCCTTTCCCTTGCGGTCACTTCTGCTAAGCTGCAGTCCGTGGGCTCCCTCTGTGCTTCCTCATCTGCTGTTAACTGGACTTCTACCTGAAAACAATTAACCCATTAGCTTCCTCAAAGATATAATGAAAATGGTTTGGATATTTTGGAAATATCTCCACATTAGAGCTGCTCTCAGAGCACATGCTACGTTCAGATGGCAGAAGTGATATCACTAGGGTAGTTATCTCCTGGAAAAGCAGCGTGTGGCATCTTGTTGACACAGATGGTCCTTTGTAGGCTGCAACCTTGCTCGCAGCTCTGGTCCCACCTCCTTCCATGGATGGGAAGAAGATGTTTCACAGGGAAGAGTAATCCCTGGCGGTTTGCTCTTTCCTAGATGTGGATGAGTGCGGCGCGATCTCCGGCGTGTGCGACGGCGGCGAGTGCACCAACACAGCAGGCAGCTACGTGTGCACGTGTCCACGCGGCTTCATGACCAGCCCGGATGGATCGCGCTGCATCGGTAAGATGCTAAATAGTTCTCCTATTGCATAGAGTGGGACGCTGAAACCCAGAGCTCATGGCATGGTGGTAGTTGTGGCACAGGTTCATGCTGTATGTGTGATAGCCAAGAGGTGCTGGTTTTCCAGCAAAAAGAAGTCAATGGGGAGAAAAAGGAGCTTCCCAAGCAGTGCTCACCACACTGCAGACATCCATCCCCACTGCATGTGAGGAACGCAAGGTTATACGGCTGTTTTATGAGATTTAGCCCACAGTACTGGATTCCCAACTCCAAAATGATTTCCAGGACCATATGGAAATGACACTTGCAGTCCCCACCCCACAGACAGCACGAAGGGCTCAGTGGGGCCAGTGTGGACACACCGCAGGCTCTGCTCTACCTGGCTACCCCATCTCAGTTTGGCTCCAGGCACCTCTATTTTAAAGCTTATGAGATTTGGCTGGAGTCCAGGCCAGCTTTCCCTAGACTTAAGACCTCTCCTGCCTCCAGACTACAGCGCCTGGAGTGAATCCTGCATGTTGAATGCATCAAAATTCCTTTCCAAGCCTTGTAAATATTTGATAGTCCATTTCTCTCTAGAGCAGACAACAGTTTCTATGATAAATAGATCAGCTCCATGTTTACTTGCTCTCAGCAGGGACACTCGCTTGGGTCAAACTGAATTTCGGGTTGTCTCACTCTTCTGAAAGTTCATTCATCTTTAGAAGGTCAAGGACACAAGGATTTATAAGGAGGGACTGCTATAGAAAAGGCAGAGATAAGATCACTATTAGGGCAATGGAAATGTGAGGTACATTTTTCTGCTGAAAGCCCTGGAAATTAAGTCAGAAATACTTCATTTCTGAGCTGTTTTATATCCCCAGAAGTTGGAGTAAGAATCAGTCATTTTCTAGTTCCAGAAAGAAGTCCTTGTGAAATGTACCATAAGAGTCACCTTGTTTGGGAATGCAATAGATCCAAGAATGAAATTCTTTTCCTCCGGATTTCCCACACCCTACCATAAGCCCAGAGGGGTGTGATGTCTGTCCGATGAGTCATACGGACATTTCCCCTCTTACCTTCAAACCAAGTGCTTCAAGAAATGAAAAGTAAACAAAACTAAGGCCCCAAAGTTTAAAAATATCCCAAAGCTTAGCTGTAATGGCCTATGACTGCACCTGAACTTGATACATCATGCCCTAGCCATTTCCCTGAACTAATATATGCTGTTAGTGATCTGTCATGTTTTGGGACAAATGATATTTTTTCTGGCAAAACGCACTAATTTAACTCCGGGGTGCTGTTGCCCCGTGATCCATATTTTGCAAATTCTGTTTATATAGTTTGGAGGATTTTAGTGCTCATTTTGAGAGGTTTACAATATTTTAAACCTGCAATTTATGTCCTATGAAGCAAGCCAAATAAATGGCGTATAAACCTGGAAATTAATAAATAATTAAATTAAAACCATTAAAGCACGACCAGCTTCAAGAGAGAGAGCAGAAGAGACCTTGTGCTAACGCCTCCCAGATGTTCTGAGCGGAAATGACCACGTTGTCTCATATATCAGAGCGCACCCGCGCTGGGGATGTGGTGACTTTATAGTGGAAGCCTTGATCCCTTTCCCCTCCCTTTTTCACGGAGCAAACACCTTTTTATTGCATTTGAATAATCTCCTGGAGTTTATGCAGCTGAAACAGCAAGACGCTGAGCTTGAGCTGATCCCAATTCTCATTAGCTGCTTTCACTGCATTCCTTGGTGAAATGCAAACAGTGGCGTAGCTGGAGAAACTCCGTCATAGGTGGAAACCAGCATTTATTGAATGATCCAACCACCTGTGCTTGACACGAGGCATCTATTTCCACACGTGCTCATAGCTGCTTTATTCCCGGGTTCTTGGAAAAGATGCTTGGGGTTTTGCAGGCAGCAGGAGGATGCGCTTCAGCGGGCAGTGAACTGTTATTTTATTTTGCACATTGGGTTGCGTTGCAAGAAGGGCTGCAAAGAACGATTTTCAAGAGAGAGAAATGTCTCCAGAAATGTCTTCCTTCTTGTTGCAAATTCCTGGGCTTTGTTGGGGCTGTGGAAGTTTTATTGAGGGTCTCACCTGTCTAGAGAACTGCTGTTTAGTGCTGTGC